CCACTGGTGCCTTAGTCAATTTGGGCTGTTAAAACACAGAGTACAAAAGTGGGCTGGGATGAATTTCATAGAAGGGACCTTGTAGATCTTCTAGTCCGACCCCCTGCCTGGGCAGGAGAAAAACTGGGCTCAATTGACTCCAGCCAGGTAGGCATCAAGCCTCTGCGTAAAGACCTCCCAGGGTAGGAGAAATTTGTACGACATCATTTCTGAAGAATTATATAAAGTCAGAGATTGCTCTTGCTGATTCTAGGTTATTCTTCTTCATTAACAGTAGTGACTAGTATGTGGCTATTTCCTTATCAGGTTTCCTCCGAAATTCTCATAGCCCTTCGTTACCTCCCGTGCAAGTTATAATTTATTAGCTGCATTTTATAGGTAGAAAAACTTAGGCACAAAGAAGGGTTAGTAATTTGTGATGCCTTTTTTTTGGTTGCCCAACTTACGAGACCTGTAAGATCCATTCTCGGACCTGCTTTGTGCAGCAACTTCAGTAAGAGTTGTGGATATTCCGCACATGCAAAAATAAGGTTCCAGTTTGGCACCTGAAACTAGTAGGCAATCAGGACTTGTAGTAGAGATGATATCTTTTATTAGACCAACAAGACTTTTTTGCAAAAACCTTGTTGGTCTAATAAAAGTTATCATATCAATTTGTAGTTTTCAGATGAATCTAGCAGGTCAGGTTTATAATATATCTAGCTGTCCTGTAGTCTGACTCAACCTGCTAATTCAGGTTGGTCATTGAGGATATGTCCTGAGGATTTTTAGATGATGGAAGACATGAAGACTGTAAACTGCTTTGACTTCACTGGGTTTTTAACTGAAGATATTCATAGTTCGTAGGGTTGGAAGGGACCGAAGCAGATCACCTAGTCCGACCGCCTGCCGTGGGCAGGAAAGGATGCTGGGGTCAAATGACCCCAGCTAGGTGGCTGTCTAGCCTTCTTTTGAAGACCCCCAGGGTAGGGGTGAGCACCACTTCCCTTGGAAGTTGGTTCCAGCTCTTAGCCGCCCTGACAGTGAAGTAGCGCCTCCTGATGTCTAGCCTGAATCTACTCTGTCAACTTATGGCTGTTTTTCCTTGTTACCCCTGGTAGTGCTCAGGGGAACAGGGACCTTCACATAGCCTGCTGGTCCCCTTGGCAAGTTTATAGGCGGCCACCAGATCCCCTCTCAGCCTTCTTTTGTGGAGGTCGAACAGGTTCAGGTCCCATAGCCTCTCCTCATAGGGCCTGCCCTGCTGCCCCCTGATCATGCGAGTGGCCCTCCTCTGGACCCTCTCCATGCTATCCACGTCCCTCCTGAAGTGTGGCGCCCAGAACTGGATGAAGTACTCCAACTGCAGCCTGACCAATGTCACATAGAGGGGGAGGATCACCTCCTTGGACCTGCTCGTGATGCATCTGTGGATGCACGACAAGGTGCGGTTGGCCTTCCTGACTGTGTCCCCACACTGTCGGCCCATGTTCATCTTGGAATCAGTAGTGACTC